TTTTGAATCTTATTTGTAAAAAACGACTCATTCTCAACTTATTTGTCACAACCGACCTAGTTTCAGCCATCTGGCTGAAACTGGGTCGGTTTTGACGAAAAATTTTCAGAAACTTCACGGGATTTCAAGTCCCGTGAAGTTTTGTTATGTAAAAAACTTCACGGGACTTCAGGTCCCGTGAATTTTGATATTTTTTTGCCAAAACTAACTCGGTTTCAGCCAGATGGCTGAAACTAGGTCGGTTTTGATAAATAAGTTGAGATGGGTCGTTTTTTACAAATAAATTTTGAAAATGATTTGTTTTTAAAATTGATCCTAATATATATATTGAAAGTACCTTAATACCACTAGGAACCCTAGAGGGGGGTGAATAGGGTTATTGCTAATCTTATTAGATATTAATACCGATTAAAATTAATTAACAAATATATCCTAACAATATTGATATTCAATTTGATATATGCAAGGATATATGAACAAGAGTAAATAAACAAGTGATAGTGCGCAAATGACAAACACAAACACAAGATATGATCACGGAGTTCGGTCCCCACGACCTACGTCTCCGCTCCTCACCTCGAGGAGATCTCCACTATCACAATCGGATTTTCTACGCTCACCCAAACAACGTTTACACCTCACAATTCGGTTTTCTAGTTCACCGAAAACTTTACAACAAACACAATTGCAATCACACTCTACACCCTCTAAGTGTTGGTCTCTAGCCCGTCTTTTCCTCAAGTGCTCGGATATACGACCTACCTCTAGGCATTACTACCGACGCCACTCTTCTTGGGACAACCCCGTCTCTCACCACACACTCCTCTCGGTGTACAAGTGTGATACAACGTGTAACTCACAATTAAGCACAATACAAATAAATTATTCTCTACAATAGGTGAGAACACAATTTAAGCTCACTCTCAATGTTACACTCACCACAACCCCAAATTATATACAATATGTGAAAATAGTTAAGCTCAATGGTTGTGTGTGCAAGCAATGAGAAAAATCAAATATAAACTTAAGCTCAATGGTTGTGTGTGCAAGCAATGAGAAAAATCAAATATAAACTCAATTAAATCTAGCAAATATGAATATAACAATTGAAGCATAAACAAGCTAGAGATATGAGTTTAGAAACACTTCTCTAATCACAAGAGAGAGGGATAGGAAGATTGAAAGCCCAAACTAAAATTGATCTCTTCTTCTTGTAAAACAATCTTCACAAAACTAATTTTATAAACAAACACTTAAAACAAACTAAAACTTTTTTTAAATTTGTTTTAAAACTTCTCTTCTTGGTTCAGAAGTGAAATGGTATAGGGTATATATAGGATGAAGAAACAAAGCTCAAAATCCAAGTGAAATCCAACAAAATGACAAAAAAATAAAAACTAGAAAAATAGCTGTTACAGGCCATCAATCGACTTACGGATTTCATCAGTCGACTGATGAGCTGACCGTTGTAGGTATTTTTCAGCTCATCAGTCGACTGACGATCTTTATCAGTCGACTGACGACCTTTATCAGTCGACTGATAGATCATCAATCGACTGGTCAGTCGATCAAAACAAAACAGAAACATTTGGCAACTGCAGACACTTTCATCAGTCGACTGATCATCGACTGATTTCATTAGTTGACTGATCAGTCGACTGATAACAAGTATACAACCTGTTAAAAGCAGAACCTGATTTTCAAACTGCCTTTAAAAATAGTAAACAAATTCTAAAAATTATGAAACTTTGGGAAATGATTGTAGATATGATAATACACATGCTCCAAAAACTAGTTTTCAAAAAGCATCTCCCAAATGTAAAATCTCATCATTTTGCAAAATCACATAAGTATGAACATGTTAAAAACTTGATTTTGCTAAAATGACTTAAACAAAACTTTGAAACACTTTAGGATGGATTTAGAGACTTATACAAGATATAAAAATAGTGTAAATAAGTCTTCAATCCATAAACATAATATTTTACAAATTCAATAAATATGAAGCATATAAATGTGAAAATGAAGATATATATTTCTTCATATCTATATAGCTAAACCAAAACAACTTATCCACATAGAAAACAAATAAATATTATATATCTATTTGTTTGCAAAAACTTTTGTGGATAAAACACATAAATCATTAAATTGTGTGTGTATAATATTGAGCTTAAGATATTAACACACAAAGTATAAACCCTAAACTAATTTACCCAAGCTTGATAGATCTTCAATATGCTTGACTTGGTTGCGGATGAAGCTTGATCTTGAATATGATTTGATGTGCAATGGTTTCATTACACTATTCCACCAACCTCCATTTGATGTGATTGTTGAGGCTCGAATCCATCCATCCTCCAACGTATTGTTTGTCTAGAATACCTAATAAGAAAACATAAACACTAGACAAACAATATTAGGAATTGTTTGTAATCATCAAAATAAGATTAGAAGATGTAGGCTCATAACATGAGACCAAATATATATATATATATATATATATATATATATATATATATATATATATATATATA